TAGAAGTTCAAGTAATGTTTCAGCGTATGGTTTACAAAACTATGTACAAAAATTGTAATAATATTGTTCTAGAGGAATCACGTGGCTGAATATTTTTATAAGAAATAGTCACAGTCGTACGTCGGGAAGTAAAGGAAATTATTTTAAATCGCAAAACAAATAACAAAAAATAAAGTAAACTTTGGAATTTTTATGGATAAAGTGCTCTTAATTTGCTTTCGAAGGGCGCGTAACGAATTTAGGGAGCTCGAAAACATATTGCTACGAATGCTTTACGATTAAACTCTCGATTGGAATCGACACGAACGCGCTAGTACTGTTCAGTTTCGCTTAATAAGTACCATAGTTGCGTTCGGTTGAACGGATATATTATTCCGACCGAACTTTGTTAATTTCGCGCAGTGAAATTGTGTTTGTCGAAGTCGCGGTCGTGATGGAAACACCGTGTAACTTTCTTGCGCCGTGTAACGCCGTCACGCCGTAAAATACTATAATTAAATTTAATCGCGCCCGCCTCGCTGCAGCATAATTTTAAACGTCGTACAGTGTCATTTTAAATAACCCGTCGCGCGCGAACGTTAACGACACTTTGCGTAAACGAATATTTATTCACCGTCGTTGTCTGTTTAATGTGGGCATGCAGCGATATTAAAAATAATGTTCCTCTTATTACTTTCGCGTTTGAATTGTTAACAAAAATTTCTTTTACTCGTATTTAGTGTTTGTTATGTCCTCTTGGATTTTAAGTTTCACAAGGTTCGTATAAATATGCTTATTATGCGTGTTTGTCCGTGTTATCGTTAATTAATCTTGTGAAATATAACTGTTTAAAGATTAAGTTTTAGATCTAAATTAACTAACTGATTAAAATTATTATGTATATTCATCCATTAATATATATATTGTAATAAAAGTAATTAATAGTTTTATTTTATTTTTTTTAAATTAACGTAATTTAAAATTTAAAAACATGACTCTCCTCTTACACGGTATATTTTTCAACGAGTTTAATGATTCACGGTTTTCAGTAACCCAACTACACAAATTATTTATTGTTATTAATTATTATTGATGTGCTTGATGATGGCTTGTAACGCTATTTAACGTTAGATTAAAGATGCATGATAAGTTTGAAATGACGATTATACATTTAACGCGTTCAGAATGTAGGAGAAGCGACTAGACATATTTAAATTTTCACGGCAGTTTCGCGTCGTTCTTCGACAGATCGTTCTACGTCGTCGCTAAGATCCTTAACACGAAAACTTATACCAAGTACCAACGAAATAGGGTCGACAGGCCTAAAGAACGTTCGTTACTCGAGGCGTAGAACATTTTAATGAACCTTTCCTCCATCTTTGATATATTTCGGACGAGGTTCGAGCCGTGCAAATGTCGCTTATGTCACGCGTTTTAATCTGCGCGATTTAATTCGGAAACTTATTGTTTCCGTAATCAGTTTATGATTTAATACCAAACCTACCGGCACTTCATGTATACCCATTCCTACCATAATCGGTCAAATGACTTTCTTTTTCTCTTTTACGAGGCAATGCACTTTTAATTTTTGCATTATATGTATAAAAAGTTGTGTTTTGATGTTTATTCGTAAAATATTCTTCTCTTTTATGTTAAAAAATTATTTACTTTTCATCGGATAGAAGATAAAACGCTCTTGAAAACTAAATTTGTTCCAAATCGATATCGTAGTTAGTTCTAGAGAAAACAAACTATTTAAGAAAAAATGCTGGCTAGTAATTAGGCAAACATCCTGTACTTAAATTCATTTTCAATTAAATGGACGTTTTATGGTCCAGTTTTATTATACACTAGTCGTACGACCAGTAGGAATTACTGAAACGTCTTTGGGTATGTAGAGTCAAAGTAAATGTTAAAATAAACATAAAAGACAGCATAAATAATAATAGTTAATATGGACATCGTTTAGGGGATGAAATGCCCTTTAAAATGAGTGTGTGTACGAGTCGATAGCTTCATTAGTTCCGGAGATATAGCGATTTTAATTTCGCGTCGATGCAGTGGCTAGTTTCGGAGATAGGGTTTGTTTATGTTTCGTTGTTACGCTCGCGCGAGTTCATTGATCTCGCGCGCGTAGATAGTAGACAGTGAATTTGAAAAATTACCTTTTACATAAATTACAATATCTCGCAAACGAAAAGTCGGATCGACATAAACCAAAAACCATTTTAATGGGGAGGCTTTACCACTTCTAACAACGTCTCAATAATTAATAAAACACTGATAGTTTCGTAACTGCACGCGTCTAAAATTTAATTACTTTTAATACGCGTTGTTAGACTGTTCTAAGCTAGTGGAAACTAAAGATTATCTCCTTTCGTCTTTGCTATACATATATTTTCCATTTACATCGGAAGCTAACCAGAATTTGATACCAAATTTTGTCCAGTTCAAATATAAATCATTCAACCGGTCAGACTACATATTTTTCTCAGTAAACAAACAATAAGAGCAGGAGTGAGTATTTTAAAATTCATTGTACGTATACTATAGCAAAAGTCGTGAAGTTATTATTATTTTATTCGATTCTTTAGTATTTTTTGTTATTATTCGTATGATACTAAATTTCCTGATTACTTATTGATACTAAATAAGTAATATTGCCAATGATTAATAAATAAATGATTTACCAAATTGGTTACCCATGTTGTTCGTCGAATGTGGCACGATAAATTATTAATTCGGTACATAAAGAGAAATAAGGAAGAATTTTCAAGCTACATACGAAACGAAGAACATTTCTGTGTAAGTTTTATATTAAATAGAAATTTAAACAATATTAAGCGTAAATTAGAATATTGTTACTTTGTTACACACTTGTAATCTGTATTTCGATTTAGCTCTCGTTGGTTGCTAACGTTCCAATAGTTGGACTGTAATTCGTAATCGTTCAGTAATTGATTAATCAATCGATTCCCGGTTTAAAGTTTTCAACGTTCCCGTCTGTTGGAAATTCGATCGTTAATGTCATCATCTATGTTCATAATTACTATTCAATAGCACGTATTATTAATAGAGTACTCCCTTTTAATTAATTTAATTGATCGTGCTATCGATATTATCATTATCACCATTCCATCAAATAACGTCGAATTTAATTTCGAATATACTCTCGATACGCCGTATGTTCGCTGCACCTTTAAAAAATTTTTTTTTGCAATTTCGATATTTAAATGTATCTCCATTTTTTTTTCTACGGTTCCAATCTTTTTGTGTCGTGTTTTTAGTGCATTTCGATGGATTTTCATTTGCGCAAAAATTACTCGCAATCGGTGGAAATCAACGCGTGCTTTCTTTTTCTTCAGTTTTAAAAGAAACCCGCGAATGCAGATAGTTACTTTTTGTTCCGATTAAAACGTATATGGCAGGAGGAAAAATGCATATCCGGGGCGGTTCCGGATTAACGATGTTCCGGAAACACTCTTTTATTTTTTGTTACAATTTACGTTCTATTTTTCAATTTTTTAAATCCCTTTCTTTACTTATCTCTCATTATAATCTATTGTTTCTTTTGTTTGCTTATTATTTCAAAAGGGGTCAGTTTATAATACCTTTCCCCGAGCGAGCAAATTTCTTATTCTTTTCAAAAATTTAATAATAAATTCTTTTTATCAAATCCATTTCCTTGTCACTGATTATAAGTTATTAAAATGCAAAACAGATATTATCATACTACCATTAATACTTACAAATACTACCACAAGTAGATAAGGTCGCTGAATTTTTTATATTAATTTTCTTGCACGAAAATATTTTTTTTTGATACATTTCTTTTCGCAAATGATTTTAAAAAATTCAGTAATATTATATATTGATCTGTTTGATTTTTATTAACTTTTGAACTGTGAATAAGAGATATACAACTGTTAAATGGAATTACAGAATCAACAAAAAGTTTAAATGTTCGAAACGAGCCGCCGTTACAAATAAATTGGTATATATTGGTTTTATTCTTCGTCCATTATTCGAATAAAATTTTACCCATTTCCGGTACGAAACGTATTAAAGGAAGAGAGAAGGATCAGTCGAAAGAATTGCGAATTGTATTGAGTTGGACGTTTTAGTTAGTCTTCGCAAAGTTCAGGCCATTAAGCAAAGATTAATCGATTCTGTCCATATTCCCATCTTCTTATTATCTCTGGCGAATAAATGTCTGACTATCTATTTATCTTTCTAAATACCTAATGAAGATTTTATAAATAATACCTATAAAAGGCGAAGGAAGAGAAGTATAACAAATGGTGGTCCGTAAATTAGAACAACTTGGTTACTATTATCCTCTGGTTCTCACTCTCTCACGTTTTCCTAAATCAACAAAATTGTCCCTGATTTATTTTCCGATTCGAATATTTCATATGTCTAAATTTCTATTACATATTTAAAATACTATTTTTTACTGAGTCTTAAGAGATATTCTAATCTGGTCTTTTTAGGGATTTTTTTTATAAAAGAAGTATAACATTCTTAATTTCGGCATTTTGCGTATATATGTATTTATTTATATTTTACGTGTGTTCACAAATTTTTTCAAGTGAAAATAATCAAAATTGAATGAATTATATTTCAAATTAAAAAGTAATTGAAATCGTGTCAGCCAAGTAGGACAATTTTGTTAAAAAAGTAACCTTATGATTATTTTCATTTGAAAAATATTGTGAACATTCGTAAAACGTAAATAAATATGTATGCAAAATGTCGACATGACGAAGCTTATACTATATTGTAAAAAACGTTCAAAAAATACCAAAAATAGTCTAAACTGCAGTAATAAGAAAAAAAAAATGAATGTGTATAGAAAAGGTATAAAAATGCAATTCTTTTAATAAAATAAATTTTTCTTTTCATTTCTCTCTATCAGTAAATTAAATTTAAACATTTAACAAGCATTTGCTTTTAACAATGATCGTATTTGGATTATTTAAGAGCACGTGATATCACAGTGTGTTCGATTTCTGTTTCAGGTGACTTATTATGTCGTGAACAGTGATAGGAACGAGGGAAAGGATTACTTCGAGATCAAGAGGGAGACAGGTGAAATCTTTACGAAAGTGATGTTCGATCGTGAAACGCAAGGAGCGTACGCACTGGAGGTGGAGGCCAGGGACGGAGCACCGTCAGCGCGGCCCAACAGCAAAGGACAACCGAATTCAGGTACGTGGGATCACCGGTTTTCTTTGAACGTATTCAACGTGACCATGTTCGACGTATTCGGGTTCAGAATATCGGACATTTGTTCGAAATTGAATCTCCTCGGGATGGTTCGGGATTGGGTACTCGAGTCGAGAGGTGCAATCGCGTTTCCTCGTGGAAAAATTGGAACGCAGAGAGGCGCTGTCGTTTCTCCAATCGCGTTCGTACGCTGATTTAGGGACAATAGATTCGCCACTTTCTCTCCGTGAAGAGAAAAATAGAAACACGCTCGCAGTGAAAACGAGCTCGACGATCACGAACAGAAGAGAAGAATGCAAAGGTATGGGTAAATGAAATTTTAAATATTGCTTCGTCTTCCAACTACGCTGGGGGTTTTCGATCAATATTACGTCGATTTGTAGAATTCAATATTCTACTGTCAGAAATGGAATAATGGCGTCCAGTATGAATAAATTTAATGGAATTGTTTTTCTTTTTTATTAAGAGCAAATCTCTCTCGAGATTATTTTATATTGTATGCACGAACGTGGTACGAGAAAGGTATTACATTTAGGGACTTGTTCATGGTCCAGTAAATGGTCAATCCAGTAAAATAAACGTAACAATAGAAAGAAAATGCAATGTGATTATTAAAGAATTTTATGATTGTACAGGTTTGCAATCACTTATGAAATTATTTTACACTATATTATTTCTACAAACGCGTTATGATAAATGTATTAATTATATTTGAGAACTTCTTCAGGATCCATAAGATTTTTTAAAAGTCTCAAAGAAAATATAATCGAGTAAAATAAACGTGACAAGAAAAAGAAAATGCAATGTGACTGTTAAAGAATTTTATGATTGTACAGGTTTTCAATCTGTCGAGGGATAATTTTGCATCACATTATATCTACAAACGTGTTATGAGAGAGGTATTAATTACAGTTAGGGACTTCCATACGTTTTTTTAAAAACCTCAAAATAAAATACAATCCAATAAAATAAACATGACAAGAAAAAGAAAATACAATGTGATTTTTAAAGAATTTTAAGACTTTTAAAAAGGTCCTTACATAAAATCAGACTGAAACATGGACGCATTACATAATGCAACAACTTTTCAGAGATCTATGATTAATATTGTGTAATTTTATATTTGCTTGGATCTAGAAAATCCAAGTTAATTAAACATATACAGGGTGTTCGGCCATCCCTGGGAAAAATTTTAATGGGAGATTCTACAGGCCAAAATAGGACTAAAATCAAGAATACTAATTTGTTGATTGAGGCTTTGTTAAAAAGTTATTAAAAAATGAAATGAAAAAATTTCAAATCGTTCTAAAAAAATTACTTTTGGTTGCAGGGATCAATTACAATTGTTTTTGGTCAATAGACATACTCCCGAAATCCTACGCACTTTCGAGAAAAAATTTCGAGTAGGTGTGAAATTTTTCGATGAAAAAAAAAATTTCAAATCGTTCTGGAAAAATTATTTTCGGTTGCGGGGGTCAATTACAATCATTTTTTAAAAATAGACATACCCCCGAAGTCCTGCGCATTTTCGAGAAGAAAATTCAGTACGGGCAGAAATTTAAACGTTAATAACTTTTTAACAAAGTCTCCATTGACAAATTGGTATTCTTGATTTTCGTCTTATTTTGGCCTCTAGAATCTCCCATTAAAATTTTTTCCCAGGAGTGGCCGAACACCCTATATAGAATAATGAAGTGACCAGATGCTTAAGAAGTTCTTCAAAATGGTACATTAATTTTATTTTGGGGGGAAAATTATATTTTGATAATGCAAGTCTGCATTACTATCTCAGGACCTTCATTCGAACACTGCTGAAGTCACAATTCTAGAGAAAGCAGTTAGTACCCTACTTATGTACTTTGAAACTGCCTGACAATGGGATTACATGGAAATGTCTTAAATTGAATGGGCAGTTACCTTGTTACCTTTGTGGCTGTTCACAAGTTGTTCCGGTCAAAGATACCTTCTCCAGAATAATTAATGCATCGTCTGGTGTACCGCGAGGTTCTCATTTAGGTCCCTTATCATTCATAGTGTTCACGAACTATGTTTCTATGATATTCATCAGTAGCAAGTCCCTATCTTTTGGCGATTAAAAATACTTAAAAAATAACATACAGTGAGTGTAAAAAGTATTCGTACACTAGTCAATTTGAACAAAAACTTTGCAGAACTTTGTTTATTACAAAAGTATGTTAACAAAAACATCCATACATATTCTTAGAAATCTCTGGAACAAATGTCATTAACAACAAATTATTTATTTATACTTATTATGAAAATATCAATAAATTTCCAGAAATTGGCGTGAAATATACGTGTAATAAGTATTAGTACAGTCTTTGATTCGTAACATTCCACATAGAACGATTACAAGATAATCCATGATATGTAAACATACTTAGCATCAGTATGTCTGGAGACGCTGTCGGTATAGGCAGTATCCTGAATTCAAACATTATCAACGAAATTATCAGTAAAATGGGACGAAAACGCAAGGAAACCTCTGAAGAAGAAAGGAAAATTGTTATAAATTTACATAATAACTGTAAAACACTGAGTAAAATTTCTAAAGTTTTAAATAGACCGAGGTCTACGATTCAAGGAATCATTGACAGATATGGCGATCGAAAAACTGTAAAAACTAATCCAAGAAACGGACGTAAACGAATAATAAATGAGTATACCGGCCGATGGATAATTCGAAAAATAAAGCAAAATCCAAAGATAAGTGCGGTGAAAATCACAGCTGAACTTAAAAATGATCTGGACATTAATGTATGCAGTAGCACAGTGCGTAATTTTTTATGGGATAGAGGATATCACGGCAGAGTAGCTCGTAAGAAATATTTCGTACATGAAATTAATAATCTATCATAATTAATGTTCCTATGGAGCACTGGAACCGTATTATATTTACCGATGAGAGTAAATTTAACATATTTGGGTCAGATGGACGATGTACAGTATGGCGGAAAAAAAATACCGAGTACGAAGAAAGAAATTTGAAGCCGACCGTAAAGCATAGAGGAGGATCTGTCACAGTTTGGAGCTCTATGAGTGCGAGCGGGGTTGGACCCCTCCATTTTATCGATGGTATCATGGATCACAAAATGTACATCGATATTCTAAAAGAGCATCTTCAGGTTAGTGCAAATATAATGCAGTTACAGGGCAATTATATATTTTTGCATGATAATGATCCAAAGCATAATGCTTATAATACACGTCAGTGGATCCTATATAATGTGCCGCAGCAATTAAAAATCCCTCCACAGTCCCCAGACATAAATGTGATAGAGCACTTATGGAGTCATCTTGAAGAAAAAATTCGAGACCATCACATTTCTTCGAAACAAGATTTAAAAAATGCACTTTTAGAGGAATGGAACAAAATTTCTAGTACTATAACCAAAAATGTAGTAAATTCAATGCCGCAAAGGCTTAAAGCGATTATACAATCTAAAGGAAATCCCACTAGATACTAAAATAGCAAATAGACTGATTTTTGTTACGTCTATGTACTAAAATTTATAGTTTTTGTTGTAAAATTAGAAGTGTACGAATACTTATTACACGTATATTTCACGCCAATTTCTGGAAATTTGTTAATATTTTCATAATAAATATAAATAAATAATTTGTTGTTAATGACATTTGTTCCAGAGATTTCTAAGAATATGTATGCATGTTTTTGTTAACATACTTTTGTAATAAACAAAGTTCTGCAAAGTTTTTGTTCAAATTGACTAGTGTACGAATACTTTTTACACTCACTGTACATTTCTGACTCACGAAATCTATTATTCTACTAAATTTGAACAATTATGAAACATTAAGGCTCTAAGAAATAATTCTTCGAATATTTATTCCAAGTTTATAGTTTCCAAGAATATTTATTCAGCTTGATGAAAACTATTCAAATAACAAAAGAATAATGCTACCCTTTGAAAAATTTCAAGACAGACTTTTTCCTCTTACTAGTCAGCTAAAAAGAATTTGATGCAAATGAAAAAATTAGTCTTGATCATTTAATTAGAAAAAGAAAAGTGAAATTGATATCTTCATTCGTTTTTGTGAATACAGTTTTTAATACTGTATCACATATATTCCTGTAAAGTAAATCTAACAATAAAACGAAATAACATATTTTTTTAAATGACGTTTAAAGATGCAAAAACAACCAAGATCATTAACAACTATATAAATACAATTAGTGGGTGGATATACTTCTTATAATATAATTCAGAAATTTTTATTTCATTTAGTGAATTAAAAATTCATTATCTTCCATATTAATATTAACTAAAATTAATATTTTTCGTATATGTCTCTCATGGTACCATTTATATTACCGATGTTTTATTATTTTTGGAATGCCCGAGTCCCTGTATCTCCCCTTGGGAGTCAAGCATTTCATGTTGTTAGACACGGTTGACAACTTAAGATAGATAGTGCAGTTTCCATGTCTGTTCAACTAGTCGGAAATGTTTCTATCCGACATATTTTTCGCTTTTCCACAACTACGGAAGCAATTTTTTCTAAAACTCGGTACGTGGCATGGTCGCGATTCTATGAAAGCAAAAATAGGTATTGCGAAAAATGTCACGACATACACTTCCGTCCATAACTCAGTGGACACTCGGTAAACACGGAATAAGAATGAATTGGCATCATGAAATGATACTAAAAATGTTTAACTTTTATATCGTACAGAAAACTGAAATCATATCCTATATAGAGCTCGATGCAATTTTTTAATGAAGCTTCTTTTGTTCGTTTTGTTAACTAAATATTGCATCATATGGTGATTCAAGAGTTTTAGGTTAAAGTATAATTGTCAGGATACAGATGACTTAAGAATTTTATTAAATTGGCAAATGTTTTATACTCTTTTCCCCATTAATATAAAATAATAATAATTCGTTTGGAAATTATCGATAGAATTAATTGTGACATTCAGTGGATTAATATAATTGATT